TTTTGTATTTTTAGTAGAGACGGGGTTTCACCATGTTGACCGGGATGGTCTCGATCTCTTGACCTCGTGATCCACCCGCCTCGGCCTCCCAAAGTGCTGGGATTACAGGCTTGAGCCACCGCGCCCGGCTTAAAAATATTTTTAAATGATTTGGCTTCTAATCAGCAAAGAAATCCGAACATGGTATTTTAAAACATTTCTGAGTACTATATGATAAAACCATTATAGATAGTATCTGGAAAGAAACCCAAGAAGTAGAATCTAATTGTGACATGATTCTTACTCACATTAAGCATTATCTACACCTAACTTTACCTCATTTATAAAGATAACAGAGGGAAGCCCACAGAATGTACTATACCTCTCCTTCTAGTATTTGGGTGGCCACATCTTTGCCAGTTTTGGCAGGAATAAAAAGTGGTGTTGGTGGTCTGTCCAAAAATGCATCTGTTTGGCATTCCATATCAACTTCTATTATGCGATCAGCAATTTCTTCAAGGTATAATTCTAAGAAGAATATCATATACATTGAGTTTAAAATTCTGGTCTAAGGCTGTTTACGGTAGTTCACGCCCATAATCCCAGCATTTGGGGAGGCTGAGGAGGGTGGATCACTTGAGGCCAGGAGTTTGAGACCAGCCTGGCCGACATGGTGAAACCCCGTCTCTACAAAAAATACAAAAATTAGCTGGGCGTGGTGGTGTGTACCTGTGGTCCCAGCCACTTGGGAGGTTGAGGTGGGAGAATTGCTTGAACCTGGGAGGTGGAGGTTGCATTGAGCCAAGATTATACTGCTGTACTGCAGCCTAGGTGACAGAGTAAGACTGTATCTCAAAGAAAAAATAATTCTGGTCTATTTCAAGCATATATGCGTATTTGGAGTTTTAGCTCAGTATTAGAATGAAAGTGCTCAAATGTGGGGTTTACTTCACATATTGAACTAAGGGTTTTTATATATTTGGAAAAGCATAAATAGAGTCATTCAACACAGCTAGACCCAATAGGACCAGGTAAGCCTCTACAGCTGAGAACAGACAGACAAGTACGAAAATCCTGGCACCTGCCTTAGGAGTTCCTGTGTGGCCCTGGGGAGTGTGCAAAGTGACAGAACAAAAGGACAGACAAGGCTGGTGTGAGAGGCAGAGGACTCAGATGGGAGTGGTTTTATTCCTCTCAAAAGACAAATAAAATGACAAAATAGAACTATACTGCTGTCCTTTCCTGTAAGTCCTGATGAAAAGAACAGTGATTCATGTTGGGCTATGAAAAGTATCCCAGTTTGAGAATAGAATATGTGAAAAGGGCTAAGAGAGAATTTGTTTGGTCCTAAAATTCTTTTATTTCTTTATTTTTTAGAGATAGGCAACCTCTGCTGCCCAGGCTGAGTGCAGTGCTGTGATCATAGCTCAATGCAGCCTTGAAATCCTGGGCACATATGATCCTCCTGCCTTTGCCTACTGAGTAGATGGAAATACAGCATGCACCACCACACTCAACTAATTAAAAATTTTTTTTGTAGTGATGGGGTCTTGGTATGTTGCCTAGCTGGTCTCGAACTCCTGGGCTCAAGTGATCCTCCTGCCTTGCCTCCCAAAGCGCTGGCATTACAGGTGTGAGCCACTGTGCTTGGCCAAAATTCTTTTTTTTTAAAGCCCATTCCACACTTCCAGCCATATCCACTATTATAATAGTAAGTAGTCTGTGTATTTGTTTCTTTTTTTTTTTTTTTTTTTGAGATGGAGTCTTGCTCTTGTCGCCCCAGGCTGGAGTGCAGTGGTGCCATCTTGGCTCACTGCAATTTCCGCCTCCTGGGTTCAAGCGATTCTCCTGCCTCAGTCTCCTGAGTAGGTGGATTACAGGCACCGGTCACCACGCCTGGCTAATTTTTTGAACACCTGACCTCAGGTGATCCACCCATCTCGGCCTCCCAAAGTGCTAGTATTACAGGCATGAGCCACCTCACCCAGCCCACACTTTGTTATATAGTCAGATTTTTGTGTATGATTGTTTGGTTAAAAAATCTTACATATTACTTTTCAGAAATTAAAGAAAGTTACATTTATTATATAAAATAATGGACAACTGTTATCATATGCATTCCTGGAGATTATCATTTATCTCTTATCCCACTAGGGAGATTCTGAAACTAGATTCTGCTACTAAAGACATTCTAATTCTCTCTCAGTTCTTTGCTCTTTTCATTTTAATCTTTCTAAGTAATTCATTTAGTTGTCCTTTGGGGAGGAAGCTGGTGAGCTACGCAAATATAACTCCCTCTGGAGTTAGTGCTTCTCTTGGCAGGGATGACACTAGTTTTCAAATGAAGGTATCTTACAGTAAGAAATTAAATTTTTAGTTTAAGTTTATGCTAGCTGTTTGCTAACTTGTGAACACTAGAAGTTATTTATCTTGTTTCAATGACTGGGAAAACCAATGTAAAATTTATTGGCCAAGACAAAAATCTACCTAGAGCAACACTATCCAAGTATTCTACATAACGGAAAATTGATAATCAAATTTATTCTAAAATGACAAATACCAGCTTTTAAGACACTGTAGGCAAGTATTTTTTGTTTTGTCTTGAATGTTCCAAATATCTTGAAGATATCAATAAATTAAGAATATTGCAAACAAGAAACAACACAAATGACCAGCAACAGATGAGCAGATAGACTACGATATACCCACACAATAGAATATTTCTCAGCAATAAAAAGAAATACACTATGGATACAGACACCACCACGAATGAAATCTCAAAAAAGTTAGGAAGAGTAAAAGAAGCCAAACAAAAAACAGTACCTATCATATGATTACATTTATATAAAATTCTAGAAAGTGTAAACTAATCTATATTGATAGAAAGCTGATAACTAGTTGCCTGGAAACTGGGGAGGCGGGAGACAGGAGGCAAGATTGTAAAAAGGTATGAGGAAACTTTGGGTGTGATTAATAGGCTCATTATTTTGATTGTGGTGATGGTTTCATGTGGGAATATATATATATATATATATATATATATATATATATACACACACATATACACACACACACACACACACACAAAATACATGTCAAAATATATCAAATTATGCATTTTAAATATGTATAGCTTATTGTATAGCCATATCTCAATAAAACAGAAAAGAATGTGCAAACAATTAAAACTTAATATGGGCTGGACGAGGTGGTTCATGACTGTAATCCCAGCACTTTGGGAGGCCGAGGTGGGACGATTACAAAGTCAAGAGATCGAGACCATCCTGGGTAACACAGTGAAATCCGTCTCTACTAAAAATACAAAAAATTAGCCTGGCATGGTGGCACATGCTTGTAGTCCCAGCTACTAAGGAGGCTGAGGCAGGAGAATCGCTTGAACCCGAGGGAGGTGGAGGTTGCAGTGAGCCAAGATCACACCACTGCTCTCCAGTCTGGACAACAGAGTGAGACTCTGTCTCAAAAACAAAAAACAAACTAATAGGGTCAAAAGCAACCCATTCATATCATAATGGCATTATTTATCTAGCATTCTTAACCTATAAAGTCAGAATCCTAAAATATGCGTTCCCTCAAAACCCGGACTTCAACAATCTTTTTTTTTTGAGACGGAGTCTCCCTTTGTTGCCCAGGCTGGATGTAGTGGTATAATCTCAGCTCACCTCAACCTCTGCCTCCTGGGTTCAAGCTCTTCTCTTGCCTCAGCCTCCCGAGTAGCTAGGATTACAGGTGTGTACCACCATGCCCAGCTAATTTTTGTATTTTTCAGTAGAGACGGCTGGCCATGTTGGCCAGGCTGGTCTTGAACTCCTGACCTCAGGTGATCCGCCCACCTCAGCCTCCCAAAGTGCTGGGATTACAGACAAGAGCCACCACACCTGGCCTTGGACTTCCACAACCTAACATTTCACAACATTCACTGTTCTGTCCCCAAGGCTGTAATGCCTACCACTCTAAGTTTTATATGAGGGCAGGGATTTTTGGAGTCACTAGGATTTAGAACTATGCCTGAAAAACCGTAGACAATTGAAGTGTGTCACATGAATAAACCACATTATCTGTTTTGCAAATCTGTCTTCTGTTTTGGACTGAGTTTTATTAGGAGAGAGACCCTATATTGTTTATTCTGCATTCCCAGGGTCCTAACCCAGATACCTGTTCATTAGATAAATAAATGGACAATGCTGTTGGTTTCACACTTAATCCTGAAAACATAGCTTAAGCTTTGATTTATACACAATAATATGTTAAGGCAGGGGTTTGCAACCCCTAGTCCACTGACTGGTACCGGTCTGTGGCCTGTCAGAAACCAGGCCACACAGCAAGTGAGTGGCGGATGAGAAAGCATCATGCCTGAGCTCTGTCTCCTGCAAGATCAGCAGTGGCATTAGACTCTCAAAGGAGCACAAACCTTAATGTGAACTGCACATGTGGGGGATCTAGGTTGTACACTTCTTATGAGAATCTAATGCCTGATGATCTGAGGTGGAACAGTTTCATCTTGAAACCACCCCTCCATCCCCAATCTTTGAAACTGTCTTCCACAAAACCAGTCTCCGATACCAAGAAAGTTGGGGACTGCTGTGTTAAGTTATTAACATAATTAGAAATATTACTATTTTAAAACACTAAAATTCTCAGAGACATTGGAGGTGGTTTTAACAAAACCAGAAAGCTTTTTAAAATGGGAAATAGGTATTTCCTCAAATGTAAGACTAAGCATTCAAATTTATTTATCAAGTCATACTACAGTCCTTAATAAAGAGTATTTTATTTTTTATTTTTTTTGAGACAGGGTCTCATTCTGTTGACCAGCTGGAGTGCAGTGAGGTGTGATTATAGTTCACTGGAGCCTCAACCTCCTGGGCTCAAGTGATCCCCAGGCTTAAGTGATCCTTCTAACCTAGCTCCCCAAGTAGCCGGGACCACAGGCACATGCCACCAGCCCGGCTAATTTTTTTATTATTATTATTTTTAGTAGTGATAGGTCTCACTATGTTGCCCAGGCTGGTCTTGATTTCCTAACCTCCAGCAATCTTCCTGCCTTGGCCTCCCCAAGTGCTGGGATTACAGGTATGAGCCACCATGCCTGGCCAATAACTAGCATTTAAAAAGACATTATACAGGCTGGGCATGGTGGCTCACGCCTATAATCCCAGCACTTTGGGAGGCCAAAGTGGGAGGATCACATGAAGTCAGGAGTTTGAGACCAGCCTGGCCAACATGATAAAACCCCATCTCTACCAAAAATACAAAAATTAGCCAAGTGTGGTGGTGCATGCCTGTAGTTTCAGCTACTTGGGAGGCTGAGGCAGGAGAATTCCTTGAACCCAGGAGGCAGGGAGTTGCAATAAGCCAAAATCTTGCCATTGCACTCCAGCCTGGGCAACAGAACAAGACCCTGTCTCAAAAAAAAAAAAAAAAAAATTAAAATTAAAAAAAAAATATATATATATATATATACACACACACACACATATATGTACTATTTCTTAGTACACAGATCAGAAAGCATATCCAGCTCTTACCCAGTCAGCATTTTTCAGCTCTTCCAGGTCTGTGCTAGATTCATCACTCTTTTCCATTTCTTGAATCTTCTTAAGATTCTACGGTTAAAATGAAACAGGCATAAAAATTTCATTAAGTTACCTTCTCAAATTAAAATTCCTAACACATACCTTCAGATTAAGACATATACCCAAGTGTCACTGAAAGAGATAGTACAGAATCTATTGCTCTGTAAACTCTAGGGCCAATTAAAATAGAACCCTGAGGATGCATTTTACTGATATTGCTCATAATTTCTTCTCAGGCCTTGTGAAAGGAAATGTACTTCCTTTCCTTATTTCCTTAATACTGTTGCTGTGGTTGAACCTTCAGCAACAATATCAATTCAGCTTCTAAGCTATATTGACAATTCCTTCTCCCTCACCACCATCCCTATTTAATCTTAAATATCCATCATTAAATCACATGGATATTACTTCCCACCCCACCAACCCTACTTTTTTTTTTTTTTTAATTACTTAAGTGCTCTTCTTTTCATCTCCACTACAAATCCCTTACTCTAAGAACCATCGTATTTTGCCGGGGCATCTGAAGTGATATCATCCTGGACACTCTCCTCTCCTCATCCCATGGCGGGTCTCTTTCATTGTCTACTTTCATTCTTCCTTCAAATATCAGACATAATAGAATCACCAATTCTTCAGAGAAGCCTTTCCTTCCTCCCTGAATAAGTCAAAATCCTCCTATTTAAAAATCTTATAGCATCATTATACCTCTATAGCTCTTATTAACATTGCAATTTTATACATATTAGTGCCTTCCCTCTAGACTTCATCAGGCAGAACCCCATCTTCAGAGGCCACACAAGCACTAGCACTTGCTGATGCTCAATATATCTTTATCAAGTCATTTAATGAGTAAATTTTAATTGATAAAAATACCTCAAACTGCATCAATTCAATACCTATAACTTTAAGAAAATCTTGATTGCTAAAATATAATCACATATTAATTCTGATTTCACCATTTCTACTCACAATAACTCAACCCTAATATATTTACTTTTTGCTGAGCTATTTGCCTGCCTGCACTTAAAATGAGTTAAAAAAAAAAATTTTCCCTAATCCTCACGCTGATCAAAAGACTCTTTAAATGCACTGTATGAGACCTAGCTTGTTTTATATGAGAATAACAAATACTTAATTTGAAATATTTATTTTTTGAATTTCTTTCTTTCCTCCCCCTCCCTCCCACCTTGTGTTCTCGGGCGCTCGCTCTCACACGCCCCTACCACCTCCCTCACCCCCACCCCTACCACCTCCCTCACCCCCACCTCCCTCCCTCCTTTCGTCCCTCCTTTCTTTCCTTCCTTCGTTCTGACAGGGTCTTGCTCTGTTGTTCAGGCTGGAATGCAGTGATGCAATTACAGCTCACTGTAACCTCGACTTCCTGGGGCTTCAGTAATCCTACCAGCTTAGCCCCCCAAGTAGTTGGAACTACAGGTGAGCACCCCTATGCCTAGCCAATTTTTTGTATCTGTACAGATAGGGTCTCACTACATTGCCTGGGCTGGTGTCGAACTCCTGGGCTTGCAATCCTCCTGCCTCAGCAAAGTACTGGGATTACAGGTTTGAGTCACCACACCTTGCCTCATCTTCTACTATTTCTTCCTACTCCAGCCTTACAGTATTTACACTGGCTGCCACCTTCTTCCTAGAGTGCTTTACATCTCAAATATCCAGACTGAATCACCTCACATCTGTTACACACTTGTGCAAATGTCATCTTCTCAGTGGGGTCTATCTTGACCAAATTCCAAGCCCCATCCTCAGCCACTAGCAATTCCTCTAGTCTACTTCTTTCTCCATAGCTCTTCCTACCTTTTAGTGGTCTATAGGATGTACTTATTTCTTATGTTTACTGTCTACCAATTCCTGCTGGCTTGTAAGCTTTAGGAAAGAAAAAATATATATATTTTTGTATTTTGTTTACTGATGGGATTCACGTATCTCCAGAATAGTGCCTTGCATAGGGCAGTAGGTGCTCAGTAAATACTTCTTAACTAAATAAGATACTTTCAACTATGCATGCTTAAACACTTAAATCTATTTAATAGCACTTATCAAGTCAACTTTAATAAGAGGAAGCTCAATCAGAGGGAGTAAAATTCAGAGAAAAATCCATTTTCTCCTCTAAATTCAGGATCCCCTAGGAAAGTTGGGGAGAGGCATCTTATCTGCCACACAGAAACACATGCTCTGCAGTTTAGGAAAATAAATCTTCGACCCAGGCTCACATTATATTTAAGTGTCTCAGTCAACAGGTGGATAGATAGGTAAAATAAAATAAAAAAGAAAAAGAAATACATTTCTAATACCACACAGATGAAAAGAATTACTTATAGTATTAAACAGGTCAACAATATTCAACCAGCATCAAATGAGCTGGTTTGCAACCTTAGTGCCTGAGAAAATCAAGTATGTATAAATGGACCAGCCTTCTAACCACCCTCCTTTCCTTAGACATAATAGAGCGTGGGGCAGGGCTGACACATGGCCACTTGGAAACCCGTTATTTCTGCCATATTCTCCCTTATCACCCAAAGGCTGATCCCACAGAAGCAATATACTGTTTACCCAGGAGCTCATAAATCATAACATTATGAAAAAAGCTGAAATCATGATGAATAAACTCATCTTTATAAACCTATGCTTTTTTAAAAAAAATTCCAGACCAGATGCAGTGACTCATGCCTACGATCCCAGTACCTGGGGAAGCTGAGGCAGAAGGATTTCTTGAGGCCAGGAGTTGGAGACAGCCTGGGCAACAAGAAAATTCTGGGGTTTTTTTTTTTGGTTTCTCCAAAAAAAAACCCCAAAAAATTAGCTGAGTTTGGTGATGCTTGCCTGTAGTCCCAGCTACTCAGGAGGCTGGGGTGGGAGAATCACTTCATCTGGGACGTTGTGGCTACAGTGAGCTAAGATCACAGCACTGCACTCCAGCCTGGGCAACAGGGAGAAACCCTGTCCATCAAACAAAATAAAATAATAAAATAAAATATTAATAAAACAACAGATAAACACGTCACATTTTCCTGGAATGAACATAATGAAAGCTGCAGTAAGCTGCCCTGTTTCAGGAACAGCGTGTTCTTCCACTAGTGGCTAGAGATGTGTGCTGAAGGCTCGTTCCTTAACCCTCCTCAGGAACTGCCCTGGGCCAAAGGAAGCTGCTTTGTCAAAGTTACATCCTCTCTGGAGTAACCTATATCCAGTCACTGGTCTGTGCGGAAGTACACAGGTCAGGCCTCTTAGCTTCAATTCGGGATATCTCTGAAGAAGCACCCCAGTTTCTGAGCTCCCTGTGGGATCAGCTGAGGCCTCTGCTGCATCTGCATCACAGTTCAACATTTCCATCTGCTCAATCGTGCTTTCCTTATCCCTTATAGGTGTTCCCAAAAGCATGCCCCAATAAAACCTCCTGAATTCAAATTTTACCCCTCAGAATCCCCCCAGGAAATCTTAGGCAAACTTAATCCACAGCATGGAACATTCTAAAAATATTACAACAGACATTTCAGACAAAGCTTATATGAATTTCAAAGGTAAAATCTACCATTTCAAAGATATTTTAACTTGTACTAGATTATATATCCTTCCTTAATTTTATCTAGAAACTCTCCCTGCTCCTTCCTCTGATAAAGATCCTTCTGTTGAGAAATACATCCCATATGGTTTAAGCAGAGCTGACCCAGTACCTCACTTCCTATTTACAAGAGTAAGAACATGACCTAGACCGGCCAGCACAGCCCATCTCCTGACCACTGTGACTGGTTACCAAATGGGTATATGGCTCCAAATCTTCCTCTAAAGCTTTTTTGCCCCAATTAACAGAAAAGATTTGCTGCCAGAGTTGCTAAATTGATGGAGTGTGAGAATAGGGCTGCAGACGGATGGAAGAGTCTGTCCTGGACAGGGGTGGGGAGGAAGGGGAAAGAGCATGCCAGCCCTAACAGCCTTTGAGATTCTAGATACACCTAAAACGAGCTGTACCCTTAGATTTCCCAATTACGTGAGCCAATATATTTCTTCCCTACTCTGCCCATGCTTATTTAAGTGGGTTTCTGTCATTTGCAACTGAAAGCTATGATTTATTATGTCCTCATAGTCTACAAATATGAGTTCATGCTTTTATGTCTTAGGGGTACTCTGGTAGAATAGTGTGAGAAGTGGCAAAATATATTCAATCCAAACTCTTTTGCTCCAGTGCCCACCAAAACAGGGTCTCTTTTCCACCCAACTTTAATTTTTACTATTCTCTGACACATCCTTGACTAAATGTAGTCAGGAGGTATTACTGTTAGGCCTGCTCACATCTCCACCTTTACTGGTGCTATGATCAAATCCCTTACTCTCTGCCACGAAGAAAAACTACCTGTTCTTTGTAACACTGAAGATAATTTGAATGGTCCAAGAATTTCACATTTCTTTGTTTTTTTGAACAATAGCACAAACTGTAGTTCAGATGCTTTCCGGCTATGTGACTTTGGCCAAATTTCTTAATTGCTCTAATCTTGTTTCATTTTCTCATATATTAAAGTACAAATAATAATATCTTTTGGATTATAGAAGAAATATACCAGAAGAATACAGATGAAACATAGCATTCAGACCATATTGAACATTCAGTAGGTATTAATTATTATAAGTCAATGAATATCTATGAGGATTTGATTGTGAATACTTTTACTCCATCACAAAAATGTTTTATTCTAAGTGAATTTGTTTTACAAAATGATACCTCTCCATAGCCTCTTCATCAAATCAAAATCCTGACTCAGCAATCAATGTAAGATAGCTTAGAATCTATAAATACTGTAATCAAACAAGCTTGATCAAATATGTGGCTAGAATGCCCAATTTTTCTAGTTAGCAGCAAAAACAATTTGAAATTATAGATTTTTCTTGTTTCAGATTCAAGCTTCTGTCAATTATATTTTAGCTTCTGAATGAATTTTCTTTTTTTCTTACAGAAATATAGTAACAGATGTCAATCTGTGCTTGAGATATGGTGAGAAAGTACTAACTGGGAGAACCCA